GCGATTCCTGACATCTCCAAAGAGGGCTGGGAAAGTCTTCCCTGAACGCCTGGGGAGCCATTCCTGCCAGGTGGAGCAGCCAGGACTGAGCAAGGAGGCCCTGGCAGCTTCCTCGGTTCCTACGATCCAGCCCGTCTTGCCTGGAATTCAGAGTCCCTAATCAGTGTGATGGCCAACTGCATTTCCTCTGGGATGCTGGGAAGGGACTCCATCTGGGCCTTTGTGCGGCTTTCTGTTTTGCAGGGGGGAGCCCTGTTTGAGCTCACATTCTGGGGCCTGCCTGAAGCTCTGTAGATGCCAGAAACAAGGGGCTGCAAAGCCAGCGAATGAGGCAGCCCCACTTCCTGTTAGGGCAAAGCCTCCCCCCGTCCCGTCCACTGGCGGCTCTCACCCAATGGTTGCTACAGCTGGCAAGTTCGAAAGATGCAGGGCTGTTGTATACAGGAGCTTCCTTCTGACAAGCGCTTCAGGTCTAAGGCACACGCCCCACCTGCTCTTGCTTCCCAGAGGAGCCTCTGCAATCCATGCTGCTTTTCCAGAGACTCTCCCCATCCATGCAGACAGGACTTCTGTGGAATGCATCACTTCAAAAATGGATCAGTCGCCTCCATTATAGCCCATGACAAGGTGCTGCAGCTTTGCATGATCAAGCACCCTCCAGATGTACTGGACCACGACTCCCAGCATCCCCCAGCCAACCAGTCTCAGGGAGAACTGGAGTAGGAGCGATAACTCAGCTGAGAAATTGGGGAGATGCTGCCAGGCAGAGCAGCGAGCACCCCCTTCAAACAGGGCTGCAGCACCTCGGGCCTCCAGCCCCCTGAAGGTCCCAGTCTGGCCCTGCAACAGCAGCGGCACCTGGTGGTTCTGACACCAATGGGCCACGGTATTCACAGTGGGCTCAAGCCCAATCCCCTTGAAAGGAGCTGTCCATGGTCCTGAAGCAGGTTTGGCAGTCAGGTTCAGAACCTCAGTTTGCTCATCCAAAACTCCACCTCAGATCTGGAGTTGGGTACACTGGGTTCCCACCTGGCTCCCTCGCCCCGTGGGGGTCCAGATCACTCACAGGAAAGACATGAAGCATTCAGTATAGACGGAAGGATGTCATGGAGACCACCCCAGTAGCCTTGCATCCCCTTCCTGTCCCACATTCTGATCCAGCCTGCCTTAGGAGCCCTTTGCAATGCTCAGCCACTTTCGACTTCTGCTCACCTGCACCCTTCTGCCCCCCCTCCCCTCCCCTCCCCTCCCCTCTCCCTGCTGTGCCGCCTCTCCTTCCTCAGAGTGGATCAGAAAATCTGCAGCGGGATTCTGTCTTCTTTTTTTAGCCTCGGTGTACACAGCCTGCATTACCTCTTCACTTCAACTGCCTATTTAGGGAATTCTAAACAGCAGAGTTGGGAGACAGGCAGCTCGTGCTGGGTGGGGAAGCGGCTCAGCGCCCGACCCTCCCCTGCAGGGGCGGAGCAGGCGGCAGCTGCTCCTGTTTCTGCGCCCTCACCTGGATCTGCAAGCAGCGGGAGAGGCAGGGAGCCGTGAGAACACAGCTGTGGGCATTCTTGCTCAGGCAACATGCACGCCACCATTTCCTCATGCATGGATGCATATCTCTAAGTCACAGGAGCTAGAAACCTTGTTTTAAAAACACAAAACGCGAGATTGCTAAAACCCACAGAGGACAGGCCTGGTGAGGTGACTGTGGGCCTGGGTATCCAAGTGGGGGCTCCATTTCAGAAGCGACGTGTTTCAAATGCCAAGTCCGGCGATAAAAGGCGTTGGCACTCACGCCGCCGCCTGCCAGATCAGCCAGCCAGCCAGCCAATCGCACCTCCTATGCCAGTCCGCAAGTCCATCAGTCACTTAGCACTCAACCATCCATCAGTTTCTGCAACGCCTCTCCATCTGACCTGAGGAGCCCTCAGCCAGCACGGGGTCACCCTGCGATCCACCTCTGCCCCTCTGCCCTGCCCCCAGGGCCTGTTCCCACTGCCCCCTTCACACCCGAAGCCCCTGCCTCCAACCTCAGCAGCGATCAGAGAAGGCAGCCTTCTCCGCCCTCAACTCGACTGCGCCTGAACCACAGACCAAGCCTGGGCGGCGGCGGCAGGCAGCTCAGGCACCCATGGGCAGGCCGACCCGGGCTCCGCTGGCCAGGCCTGCCCTCATGCTGGGAGGCAGCCACTGAGCCACCTTGCTGCTGCTAGGCCCAGCCTCTCCGGGTGGATAGGGAGCCTTGAGAGCCCCTGCTCGGCTTTGGAGCACCGGCAAGGGATGCAGAGGCAGGCAGAGCGAGGCGTCCAGCAAACCCGACTCCCGGGGTGCCACACAACAACCCGGGCCTTTGCCGCTGGATCAGGTACTGTTGAAGCCTGTGGCAGACTGCTGCCAGGAGGAGGCGCTGGGCCCCGATTCCCAGGGTTTCCAGAGGGCACCAATCTGGGGAAGGCCAATCGTGCATCTCCCTGGCATTGTAGCCTGCAAGTTGGTGCAAACACTTTTAAACTGGCAAGCAACCCTAGTGGGCACTCAGTGGGCCTGTCTGCATGATTGTGGTAGGGGAAACAAGCCATGGTACTGGGGAGATTTGCATAAGGCTTCCTCTGTCATATGAATCCAGCCAGGGTGGGTTGCTCTGATGTTGTTGTTGTTGTTGTTGTTGTTGTTGTTGTTGTTGTTGTTGTTGTTATTATTATTATTATTATTATTATTATTATTATTATTATAACATTTCTATGCCGCCCCTTGCCAAAACCTCATGTTCAAAAAACCATGATGAGATAATCAAGGCCACTGCGGCTGGTTAACTGCTCTGTCCTTCTGTGAACTGGACCAATGGAGCTGGACATAAATTAGGGGATGCTACAAAACTATCTCCCACCCTTCACCCCTCTGGGTCCCTTGTTTCCCACTTGTGTGTTTTGACCAAAGGAATGTGAGCCCCAACAAGGCAGATGCTCCCTAACTTGATGGCTGTTGGGGTTGGGGATGATCGGCATTGATGCCCAGTGTATCTGGAGGGCATCAGTAGGGCAGGGGGTGGGGTGAGTTGTCGTGAATGGCCCAGACATGTGGAAGGACACAAGAATACTTGGGCACAGGAGCAGCTTTGCAGGATCAAAAGAAAAATCCTTTTTTCCTAGCCTATGGCAGCCAGAAGGATTCCTGGGGGTGTTGAGACAGCAAAGGATGGCTTTCCCCTGCTCCTGGACTTGCCATGGTATCAAGAGGTGTGCTGGTGATGGTGGAATCATGTTGTTATCCTGGCTAATAATGAATTTTGCTTTGACCGCACTTTCAAGCTGGTCTTTTTTTAAAAAAATGAGAATGAAATTGCTAGTCATCCTCACATCCTATGGAGGTAAATTGAATTCCTTACTTCCAGAGTGTGTGTTCCAAGACATCTGGTGGTGGGGGGAGGGGGGGACCAGGTGCAAGAAGTCTGGGCTAGGTCTGGCCGTCCACCTTGACTTTGCTCAGTTAACTTCCTCTCCTAGACAGAAAGAACATTTCTCTCATTCAGACTGGCTTTCCCCCACATATAGCAGGAGATGTTTAGAAGCGCATTAAAGAGAGAGAGAAAGGCTTGGGGAGAGAGGCATGTTGGAAAACACTTTCCTAGCACCCTTAGGCAGCCAACCCTTTGAGCTGAGGATGCCTCAGATCCCACGGTTGCTTTCCAGTTTTGCTCCCTTCACCTTGATCACGCTACCTGCTTGCACAGATGGCAGCCCCCTGAGGAAGGGAAGGCAGCCTCGACAGAATGAAAATACCAGCACAACTTCCAAGAGGGGGGGTCCAGCGGGGAGAGACTATTAGTGAGACCTTGCAAACTTCTAGCACTGCTCAAGGACAGAAGAAGTTTCACTGAGACCCTCTAATTCTGTTTGCCTATGTCAGCTAGCATTGATTGCTCCAGCTTGCAGCAGTCTTGGGTTTAGGGCAGAGGAGGGTTTATTTTTCCCCATGCCCTGCAGCTTTCTCCTTCTTCTTCTATGCCACACCTGTGATTTTTCTCCCTTAAGAAATATCAAATAGGCAAAGAAATATCTTTCGTCAGCCTGATTTCTATTGCTGCAAGTTGTTATACATATGCAGCCCACTTCTTCAGGAGGAATATTGCCTTCCCGTCATCCTGAGCAAAGGACCACATGGCATTTGAAACCTGGTGTCTTCTTACACCAAGGGAAGACAACCTGATCTGCTAAAAGGGCTCCAAAGCTAGGAAATGCCCGGTGTCTCCAGGGGCACACTCCAAGGAGCAAAGGATCTGCCTTCAGGGGCTGAGGTCCCATGTCCAACCATGTGGCCAAGGCAGGGCGTTTTGGCAGACGCCTGGGGATGAACTCTGCAGAACAAGCAAAGAGGGCTTCCCACACCAGCAGCAGCTCTGCTCATACAGATGCTGCTTTCAGTGAAGCCATCCAGATCGAGGTAACCAATGTCTTTCAGCCCAAAATCGGAATTCAGTTTCAGGGAAGTGGGGGAAGGCACAATGCCAAAAATACCCCAGTACTGTAGCTTAACTCCTGAGAGTCAACGCAGTGAAGGGCAGTGGTTAAAATGCTGGGCTGGGAAGTGGGAGATTGACGTTCCGCCCCCGTGCAGCCATCAAAGTCTCTGGATGACAGGGCCAGTCACCGACTCTTAGCCTGCCCAGCCTCACAGGGTTGTCTGGAGGGCAAAATGCAGAGGGGAGGAAGGATCATGCAAGCCACTTTGGCTTCCTTGCAGAGATCAGTATAATAAAGCACAGCTTTTCTTCCAGGAGCAGCTTTTCCACCTTTTCAGGAAGGAGGAAGAGCGTGCCCGAAAGCCAGAAAAGCACCAAGGGGGCGGGGCAAGGCCATCTGGGCGGCGTGGGCCAGAGGCTGAGTGGGGGGGGTGCATGGGGGAAACTCCCAGGACCCTTGCCCAAAGTTTCAAAACGTACCTAACCCACTGGCAAAAAGTTGGGGATCCTTTCCTGGGGGCACGTGGCAGAGCAGCGGGGCAGCACCCACCTGAGAGCTGTTGGCCGGGAAGGCGGCGAGGTAGGGCACGTCCAGAATCTTTACGTCGTACATGTTCCCGTTGAAGATGACCGACGGCCGGTACGTGTAGCGGTCCTCCGTCGGCCTGTACGTGTCCGTGAAGTCCTGGTGCAGGAACTGGCGGATAATGGCCGTTTTGCCCACCCGCGGGGCTCCCAGGACCGCCACGCTCAGCGTCTCCACCATGGTCCGCCTGCAGCACCCTGGAGAGCTCCCGGCCACTCATGCGACACCGAGAGAGCAGGAAGCGCGGGGCGGGGGAGGCTCTTCGCTTCAAGGCCCCCCCCCCAAAGTCACGCCGAGTTTGCGCGGCTTCTTTCTGTGGTGGGGGGAAGGGGGGGCAACTTTTGCAGCGTCGCTTGGCCAGTCCAGGAGTCGCTCTGTCTCGAGAGGCCCCTCGGCTCCTGGCGGCTCAGAGGAGCTCCAGGTTCCAGCCCCCGGTGCCAGCCGCCCTGCCGCCCTTCCGGATCTTGGCGAGTTTGCCCCGTTTAACTCGCTCAGCCGCCGCACGAAGGAGGCGGCGATGTCTCGGGCGAAACCGGGCGAAGGGGTCATCCACGCCGGGGCTGGCCCGACCGGCCGTCGAGGTACCGCAGCTGAAAGGCAGCCTCGCCGCGGACACGCTCCGTTTCCATGGCTTGCCCTGCTCCGGGTTCAGGTGCTCTCCTGGAGCCCGCAGCACCGCGAAATCAAGACAGCAGCAATTAGACTGAAAGCGGAGGAGGCCGGAGCAGAAGTTGCCAAACGCCGGAGAGGCAGGAGGCGCGCGCGGAGAGACGGAAAGGCGGGCGGGTGCGGTGCGCCTCCGCGGCGGCCCGGCTCCTCGCTCCGCATCGCCGCGCCCGCACAACCGGCCGCCCTGCCGGAGCGCGGCCGGCTGCCGCTCCCTTCCTCTCGCCCAGGCAGCGCGCCCTTCCCCGTCCCGAGTGCGGCGGCCGAAGGCGGAGCTGCGGAGCGCATCGCCCGGGCGCTCTCCCGCCCCGGCGCCCCGGACAGCGGCACTGCGGCGCGGCTCCCCCAGCGGGGCGCTTCGGCCTCGCGTCCGGGGCGCCCAGGCCGGCGCGGCGCAGCCCCGCGCTGCCCCCGGGGAGGTCGGGCGCGCGTGGAGGGCGAGGCGGCGGAGGCGGCGCTGCTGGCTCGGCACGGCAGGGCTGGGCAGCGCTTGCCGGAGGGCTCCAGCGGCGTGGGAGCGAGCCGGCCAGCCCTCCCGGGCTCCAGGCGGCGGAAGCCCCTTTCGCGGGATGATGCCTCGCTCAGGAGCGCCAAGGGGCCGGCTCTGGCGACCTCCGGCTCTGTTCTCCGCCAGGAAGAGAGTTCGCGTAGTCGGAGACCGGAGGAGAACCGGAGGAGGCGGAGGGCGGCTGCGTGGAAGCGCGAGGGGGTGCTTCCCACCCCCAGGCAGCAGGGGCGGTGCCAGGCATGGAAAAGATCCGGGGGTCCACTGGACATACGCTAAAGTTTGTGTGCGGGTTCTGTGTCTTTAAAGGACCTTCCCTTAAAGGACAGCCCTATTTGTGGAAAAGGGCGCGCGCATAGGGGAGCGGAGAATTTCAGTTCTCAAAAACTCTCACTCGGGAAGGTCCAGGGCTGGGCACGGGAGGGGAAGCGCAAGCGGCCGAAGGCTGGCTCATCCGGGGAACCGGGTGCAGGAGGGCGCGGGGAGGTGGGACAGGGGGCCCTCCGGAGAGCCAAGGCTCCAGCCCCACTGCCTCTGCCAGCCACGCACTGTGCTCTCCTCCCCGCCTTCCCAAGGATGCGGGAAAGGTGACTTCATGCTTCGATGCCACGGCAAGGCAGCCTCCTCACAGCCTGACATGCCGCAGAGCTCCATGACGGGGGGGGGGGGGGTTGGGGCCCCAGTTCTTCCCAGGCTGGGAGAAAGCCCAGAATTCACATCATGGAACTTTTCTCAGGCCAAAAGGATTATTATTTATTTTATTTATATCCTGCCTTTGTGTTCCTTTTAAGGAACTTGAGGCAGCTTGCATTCTTCTCTTCCTCCTCTCCATCTTATCCACACAACACTCCTGTGAGGTAGGTGGGGCTGAGATGGGGTGGGGGAGTGCAAGCTTGAGACACTTCTGGCTCTCTCTGTCAGGCAAGAGGAAGTTTGCATAGCCATGTGAAGCTGGAGGAAGATTTAGCAGAAGTTTGCATCTGCTGCTGCAGGGTGAGGTGTGCTTCCAGGTTTTGGTGCCCCCCCCCCCCCAGGACCACTGTGGAGAGTAGCAGTCAAGTGTGAGATCCTCCAGTTTTGAAAATACAAAACCCAACAGCCAAGTCAAAACTGCCTTCATCCTGGGCAAGTCAGAAGGTCACTGACCAGTGAAAGCAGATTTAGATGACGCAGGAGGTTCTCTCCCTCTGGCAAGAGGTACCCCTTCCCTCTCCTTGCAAACTTTTCAGGGGTTTGTAAGCTGGCCTTGCAAAGCGGCGTTGAGGAAAAGCCTCTCCGAGCCAGAATCCACCCCGACACCCGAGGGCTCCTCTGTCACTTCTCGGTGGTGGCCCCCGATTGCGGGATGAGCTCCCTGCTGCAGCCTGCCTGGCCCCAGCGCTGTCATCTCCTCTGCCCTGCTTCTCCCAGGCACTGAATGGGACCCAAGGGGACGCGGTGGTGAGGCGAGGGATTCAGGCCAGCTGCCCTTAACAGGCGTGGTTTACGCTCAAGTGGTTGTGGCTGTTTATAAATATTTGCAGATCAGAGAAATAGGGTGAAGTCCATGTTTTGTGAATGTTCAGAGTTTGGGCTGCACTGCCCAGGGAGTTTCGGCTATGGGACCTTATAGAGATGAAGAAGATGATAAAAATAATTGTTAATAATAATAGATCAGGGTATGGTAGGTGGAATTGGGAGAGGGACCTCGAGTGAGCTGAGCTCTTACACGAATGGAAGGCCCCTTCCTCTTGTGAAAGTGGATCCAACCCAGGAACCATTTTGTGTGTGTCAGTGGCGTCTATGATGGATCCTCATGCTAAACATAATGGCTGTTTTGCTACCTTGCAATGGGCCATTGGTGTCAGTGGGTCTTCTCCAAGTCTGGATGTCACCCATAATAAGCAGAGAGGCTGGGGGTGGCAGCTGCCCATCCTGCCAGGATGAAAAGGTGACCCAGCGCCGAGGGAGGGAAATGCCTCAGCAGAGCCGAGTTGCGTGAGGGATCAGCGGCTTTGAAGAGCACCTGCGAGCTGGCCGTGGCATCCTTAATACCTGCCTCTTTGCTTTGGGTGAGGTCAAGAACTTCAGCCAGCCGAATTGGTAGATTAATCAACTCAAACTTAAGTTGCTTGCTTACCTCAATGGATTACCAGAACCTCAATTCTGGTGGCCGAAACTAACCCTGGGGGGTGGTGGGGGGGGGATCCAGCTCTGGGGGACAAAATGAGCCTCAGAGTCACCTAGAAGCCTCCACACCCTTTCCCCAGACACGAACCATTCCATGCTTGCCCAAATGTTGCGCCTTCGCCCACCAGCCCAAAAAACTGAAATGCCTTTCATAAGCCTTAGTTACAGGCACTGCAAGAGTTAAGCTAAAATGTTCTTCTTTTTTTGGCCCATCCTTTGACTTTGGCCTTGGCTACCCTGGAAATGACCCTCCAGGGAGCGTCTCCGAAACAGAATTCTGCCCAGGGCTGAAAAAAGGCTCTGCAGCTCTGACTTACATAATTGTGAGCAGGCTGGAGATTTTATTTGAAAAGTTGTGATCTGAGAACCTGTCTGTTGTCGGCAGCAATCTTGGTTCTTGTGTTAGTGGGATTCGGAGTGAGGCAGAGAGCACTCACAATGGCCCTTCCATATGGGAGCTTTATTTATGGGATGGTGAGTCACTCCTTTCACACTTCCTGAAAAAGGCTCTTTGACAGTCTGCAAATCTATTTACAGTTAACTGACAATAAGGCAGGTGACTCGAGAGTGAGAGCGGGGCTGGCGGATGGTTCGCATTTGGGGGAGGGATGCTTCGGCAGGTGATGTGAGCATTGTTGATGGGAGAGAGACAGCGGGAAAGCCGGAGGTACCTGAAGGGGACCATTCACCCTCTGCGAGCTCAGATGGGAATTGCCCGTGCAGGGACGGGAGTGGAGGGACGCAGCTGGGGGTGCAGAAAGAAAAATGCTCTTACAGAAAGCAGAAGTGCAAAGCCCAGGGGGAGATTTCCTGTGAAGACAGAAGTCGCCAGCAAGTCTCCCTGCTCTGGTGCTTTGCCTTGCTTCGGCTTCTGGGATTTGGCAGGATCAGGAAAGCTCACGGCTTTGTCGCCCGCCTCACCCACCTCCTCCCGGTGGCTTGTCCAGCATCTGCTCTGAGACTGCAAGAGGCCGTGTCTCCATGCACGGTGACAGTGTCCAAGGCCCATCTGCTCAGACCGCTTACACAGTTGATCCTTCTAGCATTTTAATTATTAGGGCTGATTTTCATTCTTTCATGTATTATATTTCTATAAAGTGGTGATTTGGGTGCTGCTCTTGCTTGGGTGCAGGATGGCACTGGCCGCACGGGAGATTTGCAAACCAAATGATCACACCAGTAGCCAAAGCTCTCTGGGCAGTTAACGACATGATCCAGCATACTAGGAAAATGCTAACATACCAACGCGTAAAACAGCTTGAAACAGTTACAAGCGATTAACAAGAAAACTACCAGATTCAGGTTAAAAACCTGCATTAGGAAACCGCACCTCATGCTGTCCAATGTGCCACTGTCATTAACATTATCATCAGTGTGGCCTGGCAGTGCTGGGGAGAGCTGGGTTCTGGACCGCACCTGGCTACGGTGCTCCCTGGCCCACGATGGGCCAGTCCCAGGCTCTCACCTAGCCCTGCTCCACAGGACGGTTTTTGCAGGGGTAAAATGGAGAGGAAGATCAGCTTGGATTCCTTGCAAGAGGAAGACAGGTAGCGCGTTAATGTGCTGTGATGCTAAATAAGCTGTCGGGGGTAATATTACATTAACAGGGGTAGTATCAAATGTGTAAAACCCTGGCAGATTTTATTTTATGATGCCTCCAATACAATTAAGAACCAAATGACCATGTCCTTTTGCTATTATTATTATTTATTATTTTTATAACATTTCTATGCCGCCCCTTGCCGAAGCCTCGGGGCAGCTTACAACACAATAAAATACATCGAAATACAATAGAACATAATAAATTACCATTAAATACAAAAATACAAAAAATACACTG